GGTGCTTCTACTAAATACTGAGCAAAGGGTCTGAATACTTATGACCATGTGATATTTCAGTTTTTCTTTTTTAATAAATCTGCAAAAATGTCAAAAATTCTGTGTTTTTCTGTCAATATGGGGTGCTGTGTGTACATTAATGAGGAAAAAATGAACTTAAATGATTTTAGCATATGGCTGCAATATAACAAAGAGTGAAAAATTTAAGGGGGTCTGAATACTTTCCGTACCCACTGTATGTATGTACCTGACTGTCTGTGTATCTATCAAATGAATTGTGAGAGTTGATTACATGTATCTGTTTTTGATATTTACATCTCAGTGCTATACTTTACCAGGCATTTATGTCATTTTTGACATGCCTCAAAGTTGATACTGTCCAATTAGTGACAGATTGCGACCAACACCTTTTTAGCGTGACATGACCTAAACTTGTAAGATTGTTGTTACCTCACAGTCTGCAGTCACAGTAAGTCTTAGCTGTTAAATGCAAGTTTAAGTCAAGTGAGAGGAAGTCAAGGCTTAAATCATTCAGTGCATTTAGTGTATGTAAGTCCTTCAAGACAGGTAGCAGTCAGGAAAGTTGACAGCTTTAAGGCAAGTTCAAGTCAAGTCCCAAGTCCTTCTGGTCTCTCAGTGCTGACATTAGAAGAACAAATCATTAGAACATTTTGATTTTAAGTTGCTCTGATAATTCTTTTACACAAGTGATTTCAAATCCTTTCAACGCACAAGTATGTTGTAAAACCTTTTTGGGCACAGTTCTTTGAATTTTTCTTTTTGTTTCTGGATTTTAACAGATCAAATCTGGAGACTTAAATGTTTCGCTTTATCCCAGTCTCAGGCCAAATCATGACTATTGGGAATCAAATCTCAAAGTCAGTTAAGTCTAACAACAGTCAATATTGTATGTTTCCATTTTTGCAACTTAAGCTGGACTCGATCCAGGGACGTGCATGTATGTTCCAATGTGTGTGCGGATGTGAATGCACGTGAAACCCACCTTCCTTACAGTCATGTTTGTTCTCATGCAGTACAAAGCCATGGCGACACTGACAAACGTAAGAGCCCAGTGTGTTGATGCACTCGTGCTGGCAGCCGCCGTTGTCCTTGTTGCACTCATCTTTGTCTGTGAGAGACACATGCAACACATCACTTGTGGAAACAGCAAAGAAATGTGATGGAGGGAAGCAAGGGGCCACACAGGGAAGAGGAATGGAAGGATGAGACCGTAACAAGGAGGAGGAGGAGAAGTTTTGAGAAAGCAAAGAAAATAAGAAAAGGACGGAGGGCGAAGAGATATGAAGAGAAGGAAATCAAATCAAACAAGGAAGGTAAAGTCAGTAAAGAAAAATGTGGAGTAGACTACAAATTAGGAGAAGTGACAAAAATAGCAGAAACAAAAACATCCAGAATTACTAGTCTGTGGATTATTAGTTAAACTTTGATTTTCAAGGCTGAGAGTTAAAGCCCAAACCACCCCAGCTTTAAATACTGTCTGGAGCCCATACTAATATCTAATAATTTGTAAAAGAAAGGTTAGAGGAAACGTGATAAACATTAGCATAGCAGGCACAGTGAAAAATAAACTCAGACAAAGACAACTACAAAGAGTTACGTTTGTTAGTGTGTGTGGTTCTGTTGGCCTGTAAAACTGTCTCTGTGCAGCTCTTCAGAGTCGTGGTCACGGCTGTTCTGTGGTCAAACTCGACCTTGGCTCTGAAACTTCTCTGAACATAACAGCTGGTGTCAGATCAGCTGTGCTCTCCTCAGGCCAGACCACCACTGCTATGTTAGTTGGGTGTGTTCACGCAGCCAACTGAAGAGAAATGTCCGTCTTCATGTTTGAATCCCATAACCCTCATTTATTTGGAACGATACTGGAGACCTATTTCTTATGTCCCACCTGCACAGTACAAGGTAAAATGTGTGGGATATTAAGTTGTCATGATGATGCCAATATGTAGTCAACACATTTCCCTATAAATAAACATTAGATTTTGAATCACTTTGCTCCATAAATCTGCATACTAGCAAGGAGAACAGATTTTCTTGATGCTATAATAATGCCTTACTGCTGTTAACTCTAAAATGTTATATTAAATCATCTATGACAATATATTGTCTTGCTAATTCATACATATATTAGCTCAAATAATTAGCTCATTAGCATAGCTGGTTTTATTTCTGTCATGGTGATGCAATAGCTTTGAGAGAAGGATACTGTACTGTTTTAGGAATCCACAAATTACTAGGTGGTTTTGCCAGGTGAGCTGGTGCTGAAAGGATTTTTGAAGACAGAATTAAAGCAACCTTACAAGAATTGTGCTGATATGACATTTGGAGAAATATGCTTATTTGAGTGTCAGATGAGAAGGTCGATATCAAACTCATCTGTGTGTGTTAAATATGATGGTACAGCCAGAAGCTGGTCTTTACTGGCATATCAATCTTCTCATCAATCTCTCTTTAGTAAACAGTTTTTCCGTTTGTTTCCCAGTTAAGTAGCTTTAAGGTTGTTCAAACCGTATTTCACACTGTCAGATAGGATAACACACATAAGCCTCCACGTGTTATATGGATCCACAATTTCTGATGTAGATTGAACTATTTACATGTATATTGCACAATTCTACAGTATATATACTTCATACTAACATATTTGGTATCTTTAGAACCTTTAGACTAAATTTTAAAATGACGTTCTGTGGATTTGGACAATGTTTGGCTATAAAATGACTGACTGATATTTGCAGACTTTGATATTTGTAGACAAAAAGAGCCAACACAGCTAAGGTGTTTTCTTTCCTCTCCTTCATCCTCTAATTTGTGGCTTCTTCTAACCACAGGGCTCCTTCTCAGGTTAGCCGGGTAACGACAAAGTGCTTCAATGAGGCTAAACACTGGGGTGACAGAGTGGATCTCGGGGATGGAGGTGGAAGGAGCAGAGAAGCCTTGCTCCGAATAGGGTTGCCAAATTGAGAACAGTGGCACTGTCAGAGACAGACAGAGAGAGGTGGTAATGCACAGATGACCACACAGGAAGACAGGATGTAAAGGGAGAGTCTGGGAGATGGAGCACTGTGTGTGTGTGTGTGTGGTGGTGACTGTGAGTAGAGACAGATTACTATAAAGAGATATGAGATTAGATACAGATGCCGGGTCTCACCTCAACTCAAGAGCTTGTGAGTCAAACTAGATCTGTTTTTAATGAAACCACTAAATCCCCCACCCCCCCACCCCTTGCTGTGTATGTGTCTGTGTGTGCACATCTGATGTGGTATCACAGTGCTATTGTGGGCTTGGTCTCACCCTATCACAGGCTAAGAAGCTTTGCGGTTGATGCTGCACAACGTTCATTGTAACTTTCTTCAGGTCAAGCACACAGTGTTCACATGTACACACACACATGCACGCACACATGAATTAGTAGTGTGTGGGAGGCCAAAGGGACCTCCCTTAAGCTGCTGGCTTGTTGGCAACAAAAGCTATCCCTGGAAGCTTCTGACACTTGCTGAGCCTCTCACCCAGCAACTTTTATCACTCATAAACACATTATCTGTAGTTGAGTAAGTAACTTATCTACATCCACGCTCCACTGGGCAATTTAACTAACATATGTTCAAGGTTTTCTGCTGTTAGTTGAACTTCGCCTGACTCATCCAGCCGACAGCTCTACTTCCTCTGAGGCAGAAAGAAGCAGCCCATTGTTAAAATGAAGTTGCCTTTTGAGGCTGATCAGTTTCGGCATTTCCTTTTTAATTAGTGCCAATGTCAGAAGAGTAAGAATAGAGAAACTTAGATCTTCTCTTCAGGACAACTTCTTAAAACTGTTATTGTCTGATGTTGACATTCAACAAATCCATCCCTGCTACACTGAGCACGGGATATTTTTTGTGATGTACCGGAAAGTCATAGCTGTGCCCAAAATTCAATACTCCAAATTGATTCCTAGTGTATTCTCAGGATACTTTCATGCTTGGTAAGTAACAAAATCAATCAATAATATACTGTACATACTGTGTTCACTTGATTTTTGAAACTTTTGTCCTGAAATGCAATGACCAAGATAAAACTAACAATAGACAGTGGGGACATTTCTGAAACATTTTAGACAATACAAAGCAATCAGTCTTTCAATCTGGGAAATTTTCTACCCTTGAAACTAGTTGTAGTTTGCAGGGGTGCAATCTGATTGACATTCACTGGTGCACATCATGTACTGTCCATTTTCCCTTTACTACTAAACAGTGCAGTACTTTTGTTGTGTACTAGCTCTGATATTACTATATCTGACATTATGATGTTCAATCTATCTATTCAATCTATTACATGAGACCAAAATCTTCATGTGTGTAAAACAAATATGTTTAAGCTAACACTGAACCAGTAATGCTTCCAATTAACTAAAGAAATGTGCAGGTCACTGTGTTCTCACAATATGACTCTGCTGAAAGTGATTAAAGTTGTCATGTATTATCACTCAGGCCTACCTGAAACAGAGTAACAATAGTACATGATATAGAATTGGGACACAGCATATCGTTTCCTCTAGATAAGAATGGATTAAAGGGGGATCCATGCCATTAAAAAGGATCCATCCATTCATATCACATGGCAAATCAGAGCCAATCAGAAATGCCGATTGTGAGGTCATGTTACCTCTGACCTTTGATGAGGTCGCCAGCTTGTTGTTGATACGGCCATGAGTGGGAGAGCGGCCGTGCTTTATGTCCTGGCATGATTCAAACACAAACATACGCTCCTGACACAGAGCCAGCCTGTCTGAAGGAGAGATGGCAGAGCGCAGGGTGGGTGCAGGAGAGTCAGTGGAGACTCAGGAGATACAGCATGATAGAGACACACAGCACATATAGAGAGGCAGAAAAACAGCTGCTGCATGGACACAGATGTACACACATATATATGGATATTTCCACAAATGCAAGCAAACAGTAACACAAAACACAAAACACCACTGAGGTCCTAAACTGCCACACATGCACAGTTTTAACTGAATTGCGACTTGCAGGCTTACAAGAATAACAACGATAACAAAATCTGTGTGTTGGACAAATTACGTAATTTCCTCAGAAACTGCTCGGTTACAAGCAGTTTGAAATGAACAGAAGCTTCTACATAAATGTCCAACATCCTTGTCTCTCTACTTTTTAACAGTCTGTGAGCAGCCAACACTGAACAAAGATAGCAGGTGCAGGGAGGAGTGAGGCGTTGAAAAAAAAATTCAGACATGATCGTTCCCACATCGGTTGCATGGCCAGAGAGCGGATCAGACCTAGGACCACATATGCAAGTGGCCCAGATCTGATCTGAAAGAATCCAGTTTGGTTTGTTCACACATCTGTGATAAGATGAGATCTAAATCAGTTGGTGGGGGGATTAAGCCTGAGTCACTTCAGCAGGTGATGTGAACGCAGCTTTAGTGGTTGTTGGCAAGTGGGTTTAAAGTTTGGTCGGCATGTAAAAACCTAATCATTTTGACGAGACTACTCTTTGACCCTGCTGTCATGAGCCCATCTAATGAAAATATTCTGTGGGTGAATGCTGGACACCACCAAAGCAGAGTAAGCCACTACAAAAATAATTTTCACTTGTTAAACATATCGCATATTAGTCATACGCCACATGTCCAACACTCACTTGGCTTTAAAATGTTTGTAATGCAAATTGCAGCAGCCGTGGACAGTTTTATGTCATTTACAATGGATTCCAATAGCAAAATATCAGAATGTCCGTGGCCACTTCTTCAGCTGCCTCTGCAGCATAATCAGCTCCTCTGCTGACCATATGCAAGGTAACTACTGTATGTTCCACACATTTTGCCAAAATATACTCTGTCCACCCTTGATAACCACATATACATCTACACACAAACACATATTTACATGTGGCTTACCTGAGAAGAAGTGAGCCTTGAAGCCCTTCTTGGAAACCGTATTGTCCGACTTGAACTCAATCCTCATGTTGTTGTACTGAGAGGTGATGACCTCAGGGACCTCGGTGCCACAGTATTTACCGTGCAGCTTAGAGTCAGATGAGAGGCCACTCCGCACCTCCACGTAGTCATATTTACACACCTAAACATACAAATAAAGCTTGTATAACACACATACACAAGATGGCTACTACGTTTCACATCTTCCTTTTTGCTCTAATTAACATGTCACACAGAGACACACTGACCTCATTACCCTCCAGCTCAAAAGCCTCAAACTGCATAGAGATGCGATACTGTGTGGGAGCAACCACCTGCCACACACAGTTCTTGTTGGGTGGATATTCTTTAGGCCAACCAGGAGTGCTGATGGTCCCATTCAACTTAGAGAGAAGACCGCCACATGCCGCTGCAATCACAAGAAACAGACACGCTAAAAACAGTGTACAGTAGTAATGGTTTGTCATTTTTATTGATTGCTGATACGTTTTTATCAGTGTTGGCTCAAATTCACTAGTTTTAAAAATTGTGAATGGTTGTGTTCGTGGATGCACAAACTTCAGCCAATCAAGTGCAGAGCTTTTCCAACAGAGCTGTGAGCTAACGTGACTGACTTGGCTTTGTTACTGCAACAGTTGTGTATGGAGGGTGCAATTTCTGATTTGGTGAAGTTATGGCTGAAATGTGGATTGCATCTGCTGATACCAATCCCAGTGGAAATTTTCCTAGAGCCGCCAGATTCACCTAAAAGGGACGTGTAAGGAAAGTCATTACTATTACATTTATAGATCTGAAGTGGAAGTCAGCACATTAGCCACAAACCACTTGTCTTCTTCACTGCAGGTTCTCCTCACACCACACTACAATTTCTGGCCATGCTCAGTTATATCTACTGACCCTTATCTGACCAGGGGGCTGAATATTAGACAACTATCCATCAAAAGTGTATGAAAACATGCTTTCAAACTCATAGGTGTCACTGCTGCCAGTGAGATTCATATTTATTATTGATGTACTTCATTTTGTTTATCCCTGGGCCCTAATGTGACTGAACATTTCTAAAGCAGTTTCCCCTTTTTGAGGTAGGAATGATAAAATAGCTAACAAAAATAAACCCAAATGTGAATGTAATACATAACAGTAACTTAATTTTTTAAATACACAATTTCTGCATCATTTTCTCACATATTAATTCACTGAGAATGCCAAAGTAACTACTGCTCTTCAAAGAAATACAACAACACCACAATTTATCCAGCATAGCTTCTGCTCTTGCTCAGCTTCAGAAGTCTGTTCAGTGGTTTCAGTATGTGGGTCATTATGAATAATCTAATTCGTGGGATTAAAGGACCTTCACAGCATTTGTGGTACTGGAACAAACAACGCATGTGGCTTTGTGTCAGAAACATGCTTTTTCCTGTTGATGACTGTTAGGATGTTTTGTTTTCTGATGAGTCAGACTTGTATCCTGCAGAAACACACAGCAGCATACAAAGAAATGCACATACAATCACAATCCTTGCATAGCAGACACAACCGCACACACAGTTACCTTCACAGCTCTTCTTGTCTGGAGCCAGTTCATAGCCCGGGTCACAAGCACACTTGAAGCTGCCGAGGGTGTTTACACACCTCTGTTCACATCCACCACTGTCTGGCTTGGCACACTCATCCTCCTCTGAAAAACACACGTCAGAGCACATGTGCACACGTGAAGAATGCTCTGGTCCAAAAAAAAAAGAGAAATAAACACACAATCAGCAGACGCACACACAACTTTCACAGTTACACACACACCTTTAAAAAAGTTAGCAGCAAAACCGGCCTTGTTAACCGTCCCATCTGAAACAAACTTCATCCAGAGTGTGTGGGACGTAGAGCGCACATCTTCAGGTTTGTCATAGCCACAAAATCGACCAATCAGAGGGCTGGTCTCCAGAGCGCCATCACGAACTTCCAGGTAGTCGTACGCACAGCTGTCATGCCTCTCAATCTGCAGAATTATTAATGTAAGTATGCACAAGCACAGAGTGACACACTGCACTGCTGTGACTATTACCATGCATCATGTGACAAATGCTAATGAGGAAATACTGTAGTTCCTCTTTTCACAGGCTGGGTTTTAATTGTGCAGTTTTGCCCATCATTTACTGTGTAGTTATTACTTTAGGTTAGCATGTAAATTGTTGAATAAGAGATTGGGGAATGTGGCTTTTCTATAACAGAGTCCAAAAACATCAAGCACCTGATCACAAAGACAGAGTCCAAAAACATCAAGCACCTGAATAAATAAAAAAACAGCACAGAGCTGCATCAGAAATACTGGGAGTATTTCTGAGTAATCCATCCTTTTAATATATTTCCAAGACATTACATTACAGAACATAAATAGAATATAACAGAATAAAGAATCGGATAGAAGACAACAGAACAGAATATACTGTTAATGCTATAGAATATAATGAAATAGAACAGAATAAAAAAAATCAAAGACTAATATAGTTTTAAAGAGGCTGATCATAGCTGCAGTGAGAAAATTACCTTCAGCATGTCATGTGTGAAGTCAGGTTGAGGACAGACTGACTCATTTACCACACTGACATTTTTACAGTGCAACAACTGCAAAATTAATCCTCAATTGCTCTGTGCTTCTGGACACACACGGACACGCACCCATTTGTTTTCATTCCATGTGGGGATTAAACATTGGCTTGCATTTATTTTCTCATTTTCTAGAGACTTTTCTTAACCTGAACCACAACCACTTCTTACCTTACCCTTACCCTGCCCTTAAACCAAGTCATGACCCTCAAGATTTACAGGAAAGCTGAGTCCCCACAATGTGACTGTGTAAACAGGTTTTGGTCGACACAACAGGGCTGCCAACCCTCAAGGATCAGCCGGGAGACTCCCAGAATTGAGTTAGTCTGCTTCAATCTGGGAAGTTTTTGATGTTTTAAAAATATTGACTGAACTCATGGAAGTAAAATGCCAGGAAAAATACAAATACAAACAGAACTCCAGGGCACCAACAGAGAGTGATATTGCACAATTTATTTTAATTAAATTAATTTAGGCTACTCATACTGTAAACACTACCTTATTGCAGGGATTCTGCATCGCCAGTGTTCTGCCTTACTTTGTGGTGCTGAAGGACAACTCCTGTACAATGTACTATTAATGCCATCATCCAAGTGGTTTTTATTTTCAAAGTTTGCTGATATAAAAGGTCAGAGCTGTCTAACTTGTGGCTGCACCTATGTCTATCTGTGATGGCTGGACTCTGTGAAGTGAACACGCTCTGAGTGCCCCCCCCAAAAATACTCCCAGATTACTGACAAATAGAGTTGGAAATCCTACTGCACAATATATTAATATAGTAAAACCTCTTTAAAACTACATCACTTTTTTCTTTTTTTTGCTCACAAACACACACACATACCTTCTGAATTAATTTCCCAGTTGCTCGACAAGTGTGAAATTTGACCCAGACATTCCTCTGTACACACACACAGAGAAAGCGAGAGAACACACACACACGCAAAGGGTGAGTCACCTCGAAGGCCTGGAAACTGAGCCCGACATTGTATTCCTCAGACACTGTGATCCTCCACACACACTCTTTGGAGGGTCTGTAGTCATCGGGATAGTTGGGAGACTGGATCTGTCCTGAGTCTTTGTAGATCTCCCCTCCACAGATCGCTGCACAGGAGAGAGAGAAAGAGAAAAGAGAAGACAGATGGGGGGTTACCATTAACTGCACTCACTGAGCAGCAACACCTGAAGTACAAAAACTCTAATCATCTAATTTACAGCCTGTCCTTGTTTCTTGATACACAGTAGGTTTACAATCTGTGAAAAGATGTATATTTATGTATTCATTTACATCATTAAATATATGTTTGTAGAGGCGTTACCTTCATAAATGGCGGCAAAACCTTTTCCCACCCAGTTACTGCTGCTGCGGAACTCAATCCACATTCTGCTGTCGGTGGAAGTCAAGACGTCAGGAACTTTATCTCCACAAAACCTGCCTGTAAAGTATACACACAGGGCATATTGTAAAGTGTGTTGTCCACTGATAATATGGATGAAATGTAGCATTTTGCTAATTCTCCTTTGTACTTGGCAAGTGCCAGGACCAAGAAGCAAATTTGAGCTGATGCAATAACTTGCCAGTATCTTTAAACGGGACTTCCTGACTTGGATTTCTTATCTTCTCACTGCTATCTTCAACATTTGTGTTTTGAACACACTCTCACAGTCACTAATCATTAAATGTGATTTTAATTCGTCAGTCACAACTAAAAAGCCAATTGTTTTTGTCTAATGAAATCCGCATATCTCCAAATGTTCTGCTCCTCTGTCCCCATTAGCCAATCCTGACTTCCCTCAGACTCATGCATTCTTTTGCCATTCTCCATCCATCTGCCAGATCCCCCCAATCCCAGGCATCCGACCTCCACACCCACTCTGTAATGGACTCAAAGCACTTTTGTACTTGATCTAAATAAACCATTAAAAGCCCACAGTAATATCTGAACAGAAAAACTGATGTTTTTCTTCAAAAGTGAAAAGTTTATATTTTGGAAATACATGTTTATAACAAGACAATGCAATGAAGGAGTGAACAATGGCCAGCAAGTTTATTTGAAGGTAATCTGCTCCTTCACCGCTGGCTGTCTGTCTCTCGACCTTACCAAGCAGAGGAGCTTTCCTCCAGTAACCATCCCGAACTTCAATGTGGTCATACCAGCACAGACTGCTCTTATACAGATCCATGGTGGTGAAATTGAGAACAATCTGGTAGGGCAAAAACAAAGAAAAAATGTATACATTTAATACAAATCTATGCACTTTAGCGACAGAATAATGGGAGGCAGACTGGAGGAAGAGAGTGGTATCTCTAGTGACTTAATCAACACACAGTCATTCTCTCAGCAGTCCTTTATTATTACTGGCTATGCATGCACATTCATTGCACTGCAGGGTGCTATTGTGTGTGTGTGTGTGTGTGTGTGTGTGTGTGTGCACCTTCTCTCCGGGTGTAACAGATATTCTCCAGACACAGTGAGTGTATGAAGGGTATCCGTTGGGGTAACCAGGAGACGAGAAGTTACCCGTTGACTCTTGGAGCGTCTCTCCACATGCTGAATCACAAGCACACACACACACACACACACACACACACACACACACACACACAGATAGATTTACATTTTTGTGGCAAGTCATGCTGTTGTGCCTAATCCTTTCAGTTGTGTGCTGATGACTTAAGATTGGTACATTACTAAAGAACACATGGCTCTCATATTTGTTAGCTCTCAATCTGCACAAAATTCTTTTTTCTTGCTGCCAATTTACCATAATAAATATACTACAGACTATTTTGTCAAAACAACAGCCTCATTCTCTCTGTTTTGTGTCAAAGTTTATATCTAAATTATCTTATCTGTTCATATGGAAACTGTTAAAATTGGATTTCTGATTCAGAAAATAGTAAAGGAATTAAAATGATCCCTGAAAGCAAACTCATGTTCCATGTTGTCTTTGGCTTCTTTCAGTTTTCTGTGTAGGAGGCTACAGTATGCCTGTTTGTTTTACTGTGTACATGAGCACACGTGTGAGGTCTGACCACAGTCATTAAGCCCCATCACCATTTCCCCACCAGTGACTTACTGTAAGTGAACAGGAGTGGCTTTTAATTCATCACAGTAAAGGCAATTCAAACAATGAATGCAGCTGGATGGGTATTAATGGAAAAACATCTAATACTTTACTGTCACGCTTCATTCTGAGTTTAACGCTGTCGCTCCCATTTAAAATGACATTAGCCAAATGTGCTCCTCCTATCCCATTGTGCATGCTGTTTTCCCCCACAATGCCCTGGGGCTGCATTCATCTGACAGTGAATATGTTATCACTCAAATATGACCTTATAAGGCTGAAGTTACATGTATTTCCAGCAGAGACAGTCACCTTCTCTTATCAGGATCAAAACAGATTTAAGAGAATAATATGCAATATAATGATCTTAAATTGTAATATACTGTGCTTACACCGATCAGCCATAACATTATGACCACTAACACATGAAGTGAATAACACTGATTATCTATTTACATTGGCACCTGTCAGTGTGTGGGGTATATTAGGCAGCAAGTGAACATTCAGTCCTCAAAGCTGATATGTTGGAAGCAGGAACAATGGGCCAGAGTAAGGATCTAAGTGACTGACAAGGGCTGAAGACTGGGACAGAGCATCTCCCAGTCTGCAGTGGTTAGTACCTACCAACAGTGTCTAAGGAAGGACAAACAGTGAACTGGCGACAGGGTCATGGATGCCCAAGGCTCACTCATGATGAGGTTGATCTACTGAGAATGAAACTTTTAAATTTAATTCATCCTTTATAAAGGATTCCAGTTAGTTTCAACCTTTGTTATAATGACTGAAAATGAGAAATACTGTACTTTGGTCTCTATGAAGAGAAACTTTCAGTAACTATAGTGGTAATATCACACCTGGAGCTGAGAGGCTGTTGAATTTGTCTAAAAAATTTCTCTAACTTGTTCTCACAGCCACAGTTTTCAGTCCTTTTTCAGAGGTTTTTCACTGAATGGTCGACACATTTGTCCTCTTCCTGACAGTATAACTGTGGAAGCAAAAGGATTCAGAGCTGCAGAGTGACACGAGTGCCAACATGACTCCTGTGTACACAGTGTTAGGCAGGTGGTCATAATGTTAAGGCTGATCGGTGTATATTATGTGATGCAGGACAAAACAAAATTAGTCAAAAATGAATACAAACACTATGAAAATGAAGACTTTGGTGAAATTATGTCAACCAAAATGGTGACAAATATTAGGCTATTTAATCTGTTTGTTTCAGATACTGGACTTCATGCGTACACACTGACCTAGATTGTGAACTCAACTTGGGATGTGTGTGTGTGTGTGTGTGTGTGTGTGTGTGTGTGTGTGTGTGTGTGTGTGTGTGTGTGATGGTGGTGGGGGTCTCAAAGAGGGATGGCAGCATCAAAAACCTTTGCAACATTTTTATTGAGAGCAGATCGAGCTCATGTCAGAATGGTTCACTAGGGACCAGAGGGATGCCAGAACAGCACGGCTGTGAGCAAGAACTGATGGGAAGTGTGTGTGTGTATTTGTGTCTGTGAAACTCAAAAACAGAGCTGGAAGCATTACATGAAAAAAACAAATTACTCAACTTCACCTCTGTGCCTTGGAGAGTGGAGAGGTGGGCCAATTTTACACCAAATATACGAGCAGATAAACAGAGGCCATCTTTTGTTTCTTAGCGCACACATGTACCAACATACACATACACACTGTAGTGTTATAGTAAATGTATCAGTACCTGGACATCTATACAGCTTCCTTGCCTGTGCAATGTCTCCCTTACTGAGCCTGGCCCGCTGGCCAATAGCAGGTCGGACCCCATTGTCATCTCTGGATGGAAGGATGGTGTCGAGGAACATCCCCCTGCAAGAAGAAAAAGGGAAACTTACACATCTTGCTCTGGTTTCATGAAAAATAAATAACATTACAACACAAAATTTATTGTAAAATCAATGAAATACAAATTTATATAAGAATTATGCATAAGATGGGGTATAGCGATCACACCAATGTAGCTTTCATACAGTCTAAATTGTTAACATTTTTCGATTTAGTGGGATATAAGACTGCTGTGTTTATGTATAAAGCCAGGAACAATTTATTACCTGGTGGAATTCAAAAACTATTTAATGAAAGGGAAGGGGGATACAATTTAAGGGGTCA